TGTCAGATACGAGTTATGCTTAAGTACTTACTAGAAATGGCTGAGGAGGGAAAAGGCCTCGTGAGAGGGTCACACAGGCGAGTGGGAAGGGATAAGGAAGTGGACATGGGGCCAGAGCATACCCACAGACTACCACCCTGAGGAGGGGTATCACTCGTCATTTGGGGGCAGCTGTTGGAGGTTGACAGTCCAGAGGAAAACTAAAAAACCCTCTTTATAATTCAATTCACATATTCAATTGTAATTTAAAAAGATTTATTTTTTTACAGGTCACTGAATGATTAGAACCCATTTCTGTGGTTAGCACAATTAAAAATATGAAAACAAAAACAAAAAAAATGTTAAAACAGTAGGTAATATTGTATACTTTAAAAATTGAGTTAAATATACTTAAATATTTGAAGAAATAAAGTTTACATTCATTAAGCATTTATTTTGCACTATGAGCTGTACTAAATGCTTTATATATATTACTTCCTTTGCTCTTTACAAGTCTATGAGTGTTTGGTGGTGACACCCATAGGTGCAGATGAAGAAGCTGATGCTGACTAACATACCTACTACCTCTGGGCATATGGACGTACTATTTAGCCTCTTTAGACCCAGTCTCTTCTTTTTTTTTATTTTATTTTATTTATTTATTTGAGAGAGAGAGAGAGCACATGAGAGGGGGGAGGGTCAGAGGGAGAAGCAGACTCCCTGCTCGGCAGGGAGCCTGATGTGGGACTCGATCCTGGGACTCCAGGATCATGACCCGAGCCGAAGGCAGTCGCTTAACCAACTGAGCCACCCAGGCACCCTAGACCCAGTCTCTTCTGCAATGTGGAAATAATAATACTGTCTCTCAAAGGCCTGGATGTAAGTGGGACATGAGACCACATTCTGAAGGCCTCTAAGACAGTGTTTGACATAGTAGAATCAAGATTCAATCATCCCCTTAAAATTCAGTTTCAAGGGGATATTTTGATGGGAATATTCATAACTACTAACAATACTATAGAAAAAATTATTCTAAAATGACTCCTCTTATTCTCCCCACTCCCTCCAAAAGATTTATATTACATTCTATAAACACATAGAATTAAGTACTAGTGTTTACTCTTAGCTACCATGTGTCAGGCACAAAGATATATATTTCTTATTTAATCTTAACAACCCTATGAGGTGAAATTATTGTTACCCTTCTACAGATAAGTAAAGAGATGATAGAAGAGATAATGTATTATCCAAGGCGCTGTGTCTAGAATATAGTTATGCTAGGATTTGAACAGAAACAGTATGGGTCTGGGGCCCCTCTGTCTACCCTGGGTCTTAACTAGAATGAAAATACCCAGTGCTGGCAAGCTTTGGCCAAATGGCTATTGGTAGGGAGTCATTACCTATCACCATAATTTTTTCAGATAGCAAGTGGTCGATATAAGTGAAAATTTTGAACTTGTATAGCTTATGATTCAGCAAGTGTACTTGGGGGAAATCTTTGCTATAGAAATAAAAGCACTAGTACCTAATATTTCTCTCTCACACACACACTCTCATAATCTTTATTTTGGTATTCTTTTACTGGCAAAACATTGGAAAATCATCTGTCAGTTGGAAAAAAAAGTATAATAAGAATGTATTAAAATATGGCCACTACATTAAGCAAAAAAAGCAAGTTTTTCTTTTTCTTTTTCTTTTTAAAGATTTTTTATTTTATTTATTTGACAGAGAGAGAGAGCGAGCAAAGCAGTGGGAGCAGCAGGGAGAGGGAGAAGCAGGCTTACTGCTGAGCAGGGAGTCTGATGCCGGACTCGATCCTAGGACCCTGGGATCGCGACCTGAGCCGAAGGTGGACGCTCCATGGACTGAGCCACCCAGGCGCCCCAAGAAGCAAATTTTTAAAAAATGAATAAAATTGGCGCCTGGGTGGCTCAGTTGGTTAAGCGACTGCCTTCAGCTCAGGTGATGATCCTGCAGTCCCGGGATCGAGTCCCACATTGGGCTCCCTGCTCAGCAGGGAGTCTGTTTCTCCCTCTGCCCCTCCCCCCTCTCATGCTCTCTCTCTCTCATTCTCTCTCTCAAATAAATCTTAAAAAAAATGAATAGAATCTATTCCAGAAGGATGTAAAATATGCACCTCAAACTTAACCTAAAATAAACTTAATTTCTGCTTCCCTGTTGAAGAACAGCTATTCTTCAATAGACTATAATAAATGGCACCACTATCCACCTAATTGCTCAAGCCAAAAATCTAGATTTATTCATGACTCTTTCTTCTCAGCTCCCACATTTAATCAATCAAGTCTGATTCAACATCCAGAACACCCAGAATCCACTCACTTTTCTTTGCCTCCAATACCAACCCACAATCTTCATCTAACTGCAAACGAGTCTCATGTAGGTCTCCACCTTCTACTGTATTACTATTACCTTCCCGTAGTCCATTCTCTACCTAGTAGATGGTACACCGAGTCAACTCATTCCCCTTTACTGGATTCCAGCACACATAGGCTAAAACCCAAACTTCTTACTCTGACTCAAAGAGCCCCACCCCATTACCACTCTCCAGGCCCCCAATATGCCTCTAGCCATATCCCTCCAATGCCCCAGTGCATTCTCACTTGAGAGTTATTTCTGTCCCCTCTGCAAAGAAAGCTCTTCCCCTTTATTTATTTTATTTTTTTAAAGATTCTATTTATTTATTTGAGAGAGAGAGAATGAGAGAGAGCACATGAGAGAGGGGAGGGTGTATTTATTCATTTATTGGTGTATTTATTCATTTATTTCTTTATTCGAATGTTAAGTTGAACCACAGTAAGGAACCTTCTGTTTTATTCACACCTATCTCTAATACCCAAGCCTGCCTAATGCATAATAGGCACTCACTGAATGCTTGTTGAATGGAAAGAATGTATTATACAATTGAGTTTTTACTAAAAGAGGCATTATTCACATATAGCTGTTTAGTTTTGTGGTAGAAGAGGAAAAAGTATGAAAATACTAAACAGTAAATATTAACTTCCTCGGGGAGGTGGGGAAAGGAAAATTAACTTTTTCTTCCTAATAACTCTGCATGGCTTGATTAGTTACAATAAGTATGTATTTCTTTTTGGAATTAAAAAATAATTCAATGAATAAAAAATGTAAAGAATATAATATTCCCTCAGCTGCGGAGATACTTGATTACATAGCTGGTTAGCTAATGTCTGTCTAACTCTAGAAGCAGATCAATGTGATAGCAATCTTGTACTAGTAATTTCTCCATTAATAAAGTAATTATTTAAAGATACCTGTGATCATAGATAATAGGTACTAACGTGTTTTGAAACTATAAAGAAAGAGGTACTGATGGTTACCAGAGGTGAGAGGGATGGGGAGATGGATTAAATAGGTGATGGGGATTAAGGAGTGCACTTTTCCTGACGAGCACTGGGTGATATATGCAGTTATCGAATCACTATATTGTACTCCTGAAACTAATATTACACTGTAAGTTAACTACCTAGAATTTAAAAAAAAAGCTCAAAAACAAAACAAAACAAAAAAACCCACCAAAAAACAAACAAAAAAGATAATTTTTTCTAATAAATTCTGAAATGCCCAATTAGGACAAATTATAGATCCAGAAAAAACTTTAAGGAACTTTGAGGAAAGCAATATTCATATGTTAAGTTTTAATGTGTTTAACATTATTTTATATTACCTTTTTTTTTTCTTGTGTGTTTTTTTCCTTTTTTTTTTTTTTTTAAGGAAGGGGTGGGGGGGTGGAGGGGTGCGCAGAGGGAGAGCGAGAGAGACAATCTTAAAGCAGGCTCCATGCTTAGCATGGAGCCCAAAGCTGGGCTCAATCTCATGACTCTGAGATCATGACCTGATCTCAAATCAAGAGATAACACCTTACACCAGTTAGAATGACAAACATTAACAAGACATGAAACAACAAATGTTGGCGAGGATGTAGAGAAGGGGGATCCCTCTTACACTGTTGGTGGGAATGCAAGCTAGTGCAGCCGCTCTGGAAAACAGTATAGAGGTTCCTCAAGAAGTTAAAAATAGAGCCACCCTACAACCCAGCAATTATACCAGGTATTTATCCCAAAGATACAGATGTAGTGAAAAGAAGGGGCACCTGCACCCCAGTGTTCATAGCAGCAATGTCCACAATAGCCAAACTGTGGAAGGAGCCGAGATGCCCTTCAATAGATGAATGGATAAAAAAAGATGTGGTTCGGGGCGCCTGGGTGGCTCAGTCGTTAAGCATCTGCCCTCGGCTCAGGTCATGATTCCAGATCCTGGGATCGAGCCCCGCATCGGGCTCCCTGCTCCGCGGGAAGTCTGCTTCTCCCTCTCCCACTCCCCCTGCTTGTGTTCCCTCTCTCACTGTGTCTCTCTCTCTGTCAAATTATATACAATGGAATATTACTCAGCCATCAGAAAGGATGAATACCCACCATTTGCATCAACATGGATGGAACTGGAGGGTATTATGCTAAGTGAAGTAGTCAAGCAGAGAAAGACAATTATCATATGGTTTCACTCATATGTGGAACGTAAGGAATAGCACAGAGGACTATGAAGGGGGAGAAATCAGAGAGGGAGACGAACCATGAGAGACTCTGGACTCCAGGAGCCAAACTGAGGGTTACAGAAGGGAGGAAGGTGGGGGGATGAGGTAACTGGGTGATGAGTATTAAGAAGGGCACGTGTTGTGATGAGCACTGGGTGTTATATGTAACTAATGAATCACTGAACACTACATCAAAAACTAATAATGTACTATATGTTGGCTAACTGAACATAAAAAAAGTCGGACGCTTAATTGACTGAGCCACCCAGGTGCCCCTATTTTATATTACTTTGTAATCCTACCTCAAATACTTCCTAATTAGGGAAATTCCCTATTTAACAGATTCTATGAATTTGGAATACCAGATAGTGAAAATCAAAAATGCTAGATTTTGGAAAAAATAATCATGACAAATCCATCTAAGTTACTACATGCTAATTAGGAGCCGTCTTACCTCAACAGAAGACGGGGAGCTTGATGGTACTGGAAAGGGGGTAACAGCCATCTGATTGACTGCATCTTCATTTCTGTGGACGTGAAAATAGGCAGAATCAGTACACAGCAAATGCTAAGTTTCTGGCTCAAATTACAACCATTTCCTCTGTTGAAAATGTATACAAAGCACCTTAGAATAAAAATATGTACAAATACATACTGGTTTTAAGCATGCAAAGCTATTAAGCACAAAAAGGGATATATTACCCCAGGGGCACTAGGATATGGTTACGAGAGACAGAGAATGATGATGCTAGGGGTTAGCTAGATCTTGCTTAATAAGTCAGGTGCTGCTAAGGATCATTTTGGAAAGACATCAACTCTCTCAGCACTGTGGAGTATAAATTTTTCAAATGGCTGTGTTTAACCTCTAGGCCCATTAATGTCCAGAGCATTTTGTTCTTTGAACTGGAAAGGTTCCCGGCCTCCTTACTTGGCTTCTAACTTTGTTCTGCCAAATGAGGGATGATGGGATGTGTACGACAGGCCCTCCATGGGTGGACACTGTGAGGAGGAGTGATGGATGGGGAGAGCGGAGATCCAGACAGATAATGCTTTGTGGGTTAATTCTACTCCTCCTCATCCTAATGGAAGCAGAGATGGTGGGAGCTAAAACTTCATCACCAGGGTCGCAGGTACAGAATAACTCCTACAATACCAGTTCTAATTATTTGGACCTATTTCCATGACGTTACCAGCAAATGATAAGCAGTGATTCTTCTGTGGGAGATCTAACCTTTACTATTTATTCATGACGCAAACCCAGTATCATTATCTCAAGGTTTACGTGACATTTGACTTTAGGTTTCACAGTACAAACCAAGGGAGATCACAAAAATGCTTCTTCCTGGTATGCAAAGATCTAAGACTGCTCACAGATCTCTCTCCATATGACCAGTATATTCAGGATAGCCACTACCGGATTTGGAAGGGCACTCAATATCCAACCCCTTTACTTCTCACCAACTGGAAAAAGATCCATTGGTCCATGTCATTCCTGCTTTGGTGTTTCAATCCTATCATTGCCCTTTCCTGAAATGCCTTTCTTTATTAAATTTATAATCCATCTATCCTTCCCCTCCAGTGTGAGTTCAATAGCCTCAACTAGATGAATTATTCCCTTAAGTCAAAAGACCATCTATATATTGATGTCTTCCAAATTCACATAGTTAGCCCAGGTCTTTTTCTGAGCTTAATATCTGATCTCTAACTCCTACTTTATATCTCCGTTGGATGTCTTACAAGTATTTCAAATAAAATAGATCTCTTATTCCCACTCAGTCACCAGAGGGTTCCATGATTAATCCTCCTCATTTGAGTAAATGTCAACAATGTCCACCCAGTTATTCAACCAGGAACCAAGGAGGCACTCTTGAAACCTCTAACCCCTCAACTGTATATCCAATCAAGAAGTCTTGTTGATTCTACCTTCAAAACGTATCTTGAGTCTTTCCACTTATTTCCATCCTATCCTAGGACAAGCTATTATCATTTCTTTTCTTTCCTTCTTTCCTTCCTTCCTTCCTTTTCTGTAGGCTCCATGCCCCGTGTGAAGCCCCATGTGGGGCTTGAACTCAGGATCCTGAGATCAAGACCTGAGCTGAGACGGAGAGTTGGACACCCAACCAATTCATTCACCCAGATGCCCCTAGTTATTAACATTTCTCACCAGAGTTAATGTAAGAGCATCCTATTTGGTCTCCTTACTTATATTCTTTATCCTTTCTCCAATCTTTTCTTCACCCAGAAGAGTCATTACGGTTCTAATACATAAATCTGATTATATTTCTATCCCCTGCTTAAAATCCTCCTATGGCCTCTTATTACACTTAGGATCAAGTCCACAATTGTTAGGGAGGCTGTAAGGCCTTGAACAATCTTCCCCAGCCCCCATCTCTGGCTTCCTCTTGTTCTCTCTTCTCCTGGTTCACACTTTGCTCTAATCCAGCTACATGAAATTTCTTCCCATTTCTCAGCCGAGCTAAGCTCCATCCACCTCAGGGCACTATCTGGCCCCATCCTCCTCTGATCTGCATGTCTGTTGCCCAAATCCTTTGTCTGATTTATGTTCTTATTTCTTCTTCATAGCTGACCACAAATGTCATTTATTGAAACAAGCCTTCCAGGCTCTATTGTATGTGTATAGCACCCTATACAAAGACTGCAGTTCTGTCTCTTTCGTAATTTACCTAACCTATCTGTATGAAATGTGCTTCCAATCTGCCTTCTCCTAGATGGTACACTCCAAGGACAGGAAGCATGTCCTTCCTACTCTCTTACATTATCTGGGGCAATCAGTGCCTGGCAAACAGTCTGTACTTAACATAGTTGTTAAATGAATCGAACTGCAAGAACTCAATTGAACTGCAAAAATTCTAGGCTAATGTAAATTCTTTGTGGAATGAGGCAGAGTCTAAGTAAACAGATGAAGTCTAGGTACCATTTCTTATTCTAACCTTCTGAGATTCTTGTATTATCTAGCATATGAGCCAAACCAAAGCAAAAGGGTGAAAAACTAAAACCATAAAGTGACAGTGCATGAAGAGTATCTCTGTTTTTCTCTGACAGTATTACAGATGTCTTGAGCATGCACTGTTACATTAAGAGGTGGCTATTGTTTTTCAGGGAATACAATCCATTCCTCAGCAGTTTGCTCATACACAGAAGAAGTAATCAGTTACCTTTGGATAAGTAATTGCATTTTCAAAGTGGTAATTCCCTTTTGCATTCATTTTCCTTCATTGAATAACACAACAGAACTCAGCTCTACCTCAGAGCTAAAAGCCAACAGGACCTGTCTGCTCCAGATTCAGAGCTCATGGGGCAGAGTATACTTGGCAGTAATTAAGCAGATGGCTTTTCATACCTCTCTCAAAGGTTACTAGCATTAAATATATGGCTGCACATAAATTCTTATTGAGAAGTCATGATTACCTGGACCAAGTTACTTCACATCAGCCAAGTTATCCCTTCATAATTTAATGGTTTTCTCTAAATTAGCATGACTTTAATGGCCTTTAAATTCCATATTAATTTTTTTAAACCTCACAAAATAGAAAACTTACAATTACTCTCAATGGAGAGAAGGAAGCTGCTTTAAGAAGTTACATTTCATAATCCTTTATAATCCACTTCCTAGGGAGTGTTCACGCACCTCCACATCAAGCAAGCAAAGACCTGACAATTTTAAAGAGAAATGAGTAGAAAGAGGGAAGCCAAAGGAGAGTAGGCATTTACACTTCAAACAAGCAGTTAACCTGAATGACTTCTGGGGATCCTCTGACCTCTCCTCTCCTATGATTCTCATAAAGAATAAAATCTGTTTGCTTTATAACTTCCTGTTCCTTTCCAATATAATTAATGTAAGTTACTTAGGCCCAGATGCCCCATACAGGACACAATCAGAAATTGTAACTGCTTGTTGGTATTTTTATAATGATCTTTAACAGCTGTTGAGAGAGATAACGGAGTGCCACCATGGGTAAGGGAATAGTTTTCCAGAGTACAGAACTCTGCCTGTGTGTATGTCTGTTATCATTGCATTTGCCATGTTCTATTAAAATGATCTTTCTCTTTCTCCAAGCCCAGGGATGGGATCTTATCTCTGCATTCCCCTAGCTTGCAACAGGGTACCCGACAGAGAGTAGGTATATTTTACACAGAGTGTAAGCAAACTGACCAAACTCACAATGCTAATGAATAGCAGAGCTGAGATTCAAACCTGGCAGTCTAGTTTCAAAATCTACTCTTTTGACTACCACACTACAGTGTTTCCCATTTTAGCAGCCTCTTCCAGAACCATATATATCTTCTCTTATATACCCAAGCTAATATTCCCAAACCAAAAGTCTGACTAAGTCACAATTTACTCTTAAAGCTCTTTCATAATTTTCCTTACGTTAAGAAGCATGAAAGGTTCTGAGTTTGTTCACTCTATCAACTTTTCATACTTAAGTTCCAAGTCTCATATCTTCATCACCTAGTCCTTGTATAGATATTATGACTGTAAAGTGCTTTAAAATACTTATCAAACACGATAGTGCAGGGAGCATGGTAAAAAATACAGTGGAGTACAATTCCCTCAGTACTCTTCTGCGATAATGATTAGAGCTGTTCTTCATAAATCCTCTGGCTTGTACTTTTCTTCTCCTTTAAAGGTGAGTCACTACTTGAACCAAATACTTGGTAATCATAGAAATATATGTTGAGATCTTGCCTTGGCTACCTGAATGACCAAGATGAGCTGTGAGGCCCCCTTGCTGAACCCTGATGGACACGTAACATGATAAAGTAATAAACCTTTGTTACTTCAAGCCACTGAGGTTTGGCTGGAAGTTCACTGAAGCATAACTGAGTTTATCCTGACTCAAACATGCTCTATACAAGTTGATTCTATAATAATTATCTTTAAGAGTCATGCTTCTACTGTATTCAAAATGGCTAAAAACTGGAAACAACCCAAATGTTCACATAGAGGAAAATGGGCCAACAAATTATGGTATGGTCGCAGATTGGAATATTACTCAGTAACTGAAGGAACTATAGATATACCTAACAATATGGGTAAATCTTGAAAAAAATTATGTAAAATGAAAGAAACCAGACACAAAAGGATTAATCCTGTTTGATTCTATTTACATGAAGTTCAAGAACAGTTTAAACTAATCTATGATGACAGAAATCAGGAAGTGTTGTCTCTGGGGCCCAGAGGGACTGACTAGAAAGGAGCACCAGCAAGCTTTCTGGGATGAATGAATGTCCTGTATTTTTGTTTTGGGTGATGGTTACACAGGTGTATGTTTTGTATTCTCAAAACAACAAACTGAACACTTGAAGTCTATTGCACTGAGTGTAAATAACACCCCATTTAAAAAATTAATTCTTTGTTATATCAATGTAAGACAACCATGCTATTCTGGGAGGAAACCTAGAGTGAGGCAGACCTAGGTAAAGGAACAGATTCTATCACTAAGATATAAGCAAGATACTAAACAACTTATTTTTATTATTTTATTTTATTTTTATTTTTTTT